ACCCATATCTGAATAGACCAGGAATTTCCATGTATCAGCTCTAAGAAATGGCAATTTTTTTGCTATCTCCTATACTCTGACACATTGCATTCCAAGATATCTAGTGGATGCCCTTCACCTTGTCCTGTCCTGCCCACCAGAATTTCTCCAGCTGATGATTACACCTATGACAAGTCTCTTGTGGTAATCTAAATGCCGACATAGCGTAAATAGGTCCAGCAGCCCCAATCGCCTTAATAATCACTTCTTTCGCCGCTAATGACATAGCCTTAGACTTCCAACTACTTATTCTAACATCCAAGTCTTCCTCAATGAATTGAAATGACAAAGACGTAGAACGTCGAATCTGGGATGGAGTCCTAAGTACCTGTCGTCAGGGTTTATGGTATCCACTCCTGAATATGCACTAATTGCCAATAATTCCTATTCAGAAACATTACTACTTACACAGACAGTAGACTTGTGTCAGTTTACTCGTTGGCACTAAACAATTCATATTCTGACAACAATTGAAGTAAAGCAGCACATTTAGGGATAGATGCTCGAAGGAACATGTATGAATCATCGGCGAAGAATAGGTGCGAGGTGGGAGGAGCAAACCTGTGAACCTTGAGTTCATGAAGTGAGGAGCCAACAACTACTTGGATAATTTTTGCTGCAAAGGCTTCGATATAAATGGAGAATAGACGAGGCGACAGCAGGTCGCCTTGACGAATGACTCGTTGTGGTTGGAAGTACCCCTATTCAGCTCCATTGAGTAGCACTGAAAAACGAAATGTACTGATACAAGCCTCGATCCATTTCATCCACTGCTCGTAGAACCCCATCGCTTCCATTACTTGAAAAATGAAGCCCCACTCCACGCGATCATACGCTTTTTCCATGTCGAGTTTTAGCGCCATCCATTCGTCATTGACACGCACCTTGGTTTTTAAAAACTGCATAACTTCTTGGACAATGAGAATGTTATCAGATATACAACGCCCCTTAACAAAACCATTTTGAAATGGGTTAATGATGCGAGGAAGAATACAACTCAGCCTTGTGGAGAGAATTTTAGAGATTGCTTCGTACAAGACCTGGCAAAGCCTGATCGGTCGCATTTGTTTCATGGAGTCTGCATTTGCCACTTTCGAGATAAGGGTTAGCAATGTATGATGAACGCTATGTAGAAGGCGCCCCGTCCGAAAGAAGGAAAGGATTACATCTGAAACATCCGTTCCTATCTCATCCCAGAATTGTTGGAAAAACCCAGTTGTGACTTGTCCCGAATACCACAATAATTTCCCGCCTAAGGTCCAAGTATAAACCTTATTCGGGTGTAGTATAGGATAAGTATGTTTAAATATCAACCCGGGCCGGTTCGTGTACCCCTACTTCAGTCATTTGAATCATTATCTAGCAACAAAGTTTTGGTTGAAAAGTTTACTAATTAAAATAAAATAAGGCAAAGGTAAATGGTTTTGAAAGCTCTTTGTGAGAAGGATCACTCGGGTGTCGCTTCCCCCTAACTACTACCATGGTATGCGAATTTAAATGATTGCTATGGGCAAGGTAACCGCAAACCGCAGAAGGATGCAAATATGGTGGTAGACCACATTCTCGATTACTAAACCAAGGTATACATTATAGGCCGAGTCACTCGGCCCTCTTGGTTTAGGCAATCAATGGTTGACTTACTCCCTCACTCAACTCAAGGGTTGGACGGCTTAATCACGCTTAACCAATTTTCTTAATTCAACATTGAGGTTTGCCCTAAATTAACATAGTTAGGTTGCTTGAAAAGCTAAAGGAAAACCAACTCGTTTGAGTCTCCCTTGGAAGGGGGATTTTCCTCTCTAATCTAGGTTAAAGTGGCTAATTAGATTGCTAAGCACCAACATGCACAAATCTAAGGATGCTAAGCACAATTATGCACAATCCTTAGGTTGCTAAGCACCAACATGCACAAACCTAAGGATGCTAAGCACAAAACATGCACAATCCTTAGATTGCCAAGCACAAGCATGCACAATCACATGAATAATATCTCAATCATTGCATTAAACAATACCCAATGACAATCATTCAATTCACATAAAAAGAAACTAAATGGTAGCTAGTTAGGGTTTCACAACACCCAAGTGAAAAGAAATCTACTCCATGCTAGTAATTGGAGAAACACAAGGAGAAGAGGTAGAAACCATCTTGGGGGAGGCTTCCAATCTTGTAGAACCTTGTGCTGAACTTCTCTTGGGGAGAATCTTCCCAGATTGCACCTTGGAGCAAAACCCTAGCCTCCTTCTCCATTGGTTCGTGTTTCTCTCTCTAAAAAGCTAAAGAAGGATTTCTCACACAATGGCTCTCCCCTCTCTCTTCCTTTCAACTCAGCTTTTAAACAGTGAACGAGCTCAGTTCACGGCAAGAGTTCATGGTCGAGAATTCTAAAACGCGTCCGTGAACTCCAGATGGGCGCCGAAATGCACAGCTTTGCTTCCACGGGTTCACGGCCAACAACTCTGATATGAGCAAAACCGGCTTGCTCAACTACAGAGTATCGTAGATCCGTGAAACCTAAAATTGGGTGGTCTTCAACCAAAGTTTCCAATGGAGCAGCAGAGTGTTTGTATGGTGGTATTCGTCAAGCAACTTCAACACACGAATCGGGGAAGAGGCTTACTCGAATTTCAGTTTGCAACTCGACCATGAATGAGGGAATTACTCATTCGATACTGAGCTTGCTTGAGTGCAAGATAACTCTGGCAAGCAAGGACAATTCACGAGTGAACAAACTCTATGAACTTGGGGTTTTAATTGAAACTTCTCTGCTTACAACGTGAAACTTTGACACTTAAATAGACTACTGACTCCTAATTCCACTACTACTCTAATAAGGACACTTAACGTAAACCCAAAGAGCAAACAAAGAAAGAAATCCAAGCTGAACAAGGAAAGGAAACTCGGCTAACAATCTTTCTTTCCTTACAAGCACACAACTTCCCATCCAAGTAAACCGGAAGAAGTCCATAGCACGTTCGAGGCCTTCGTGCGATGACTTCCAAATTCCTTCGTGATCATCCAACTACAGCCCTATCTTCTGTATGTCTTAGACTCGTCATCGATGACCGTAGCTTCCACTGATCGTCTCTTTCCTGACTCGAATGAACCTTCAAAGGAAGCTGCTCGACAAGGCTTCTACACTTAGTTAAGATCTTGACGCTTCCTTTGACAGCAAAGGGTAAGTAATTGAGATCACGAACCCATCCCTCATCAAGCTCCTGTTCACAGTCTTAGCGACCGTGAACTGAATTAGCGTCAGTAACTTGCATTTTGGCCCTAGATGCCTCAATGTTCACGGGCAACGGCTCTTCTTTCACCTCTTCTCCCGGTTTTCGCTCCTTTTCGTCCAACTTTCAACTCCAGGGCTGGTTTCACTTATTAAATCCTAAAACACAAGAAACCTAGCGTAAAACCACCCTTTTAGGAGCGAAATTGCCACAAACGACTAAGGAAAACGGGGGCAAAACATGTACAATTAGGCCCGAATCACTCCCCCACACTTAGACGTTTGCTTGTCCCCAAGCAAACCATTTCACACAAGGTAATATTTCAACCTTCACAAATACTTTGGGGACAACTCAAAGGGCACAAGTGGGAAGTCTCAATGGCTATTGGCAATCAATACATGGACCGTTGCAAGCAATACCGACATCCACCACAAATGACATTCGAAGCCACTAAAAAAGGGAAAACGAAAATTTCTCACCTTGTTCATGGATCAATGCAAGTCTCAACAAAACCACTTATCAACCACAACCAACAATGGATAGAATTCAAGGACGAGGAACAAATGGAAAGGCAACAAAGGTCCTCACTGGGGTATGATATGGCATGCAAAACAAGAATGAATCACTCACTCTCAAGACCAGTGGGGTCGGAAACTTTTGGTTCAAAAGATGTGTACAATCATAAACACTCGGCCCTATCATCTAAATACCACGGCGTTAACCTCTAAATGTTAGAGTTCACGGGATGGTTGTCACCACTAGCTTGTTCGGAGGTCTTAGACGCAGGTTCATATGACTGGCAATTGTCTTGGACATGAGAAAAAGGCTTTTTGGGGGATGGCAATCATGACGTGAGGTTCTACATCTTCAACCTAAACCCTAAGGTTCTATGGTTTCGACTAAAACCCTTCTCTTCAACCAAAGGCCACTAGCATCGGCCAAAAAACTTGTAACTCCCTTCCAAACTATCACCCATCGTGAACTACATTGAAGCACTCTTCCTCGATCTACTCTTGCTAGCACATTAAGGTTTGGTAGTGAAAGATTTCTAAAACAATGTGGGGGATTCAATGGCTTGGGTGCCAAGAAACCCCTCCTAGAGCATGCATTTTGGTTTTTCGTGGCAATCTCTACTTTATTTACCCCATTTTATTATCTCTTTTTTGTTTCTCTTTTATTTTCTTTTGTTTCTTTTTTTTTCTTTTTGAGGGGGGTACTAGAGAGTAAAAACACTTGCCACCTATACATTTAACGACCAATGCTCTCTTTTTGAGGAACTCACTCCAACACTACACTTCATTTTTCATTCCTAGCAAGGACCGCACACAAACCTTCTATGTAGAACCTCTATGGAACTCAAAAGTGAGAGCTCCGGGACACAAGGACGATTCATGTTTAGACACGAAGAAAGGATTGGGGGTCGTTCTATTAACACCATTAAGCTCACAAGCAAGAAGCTCTTAAATTGAGAACGACCCTAGAAGTCACAAGGCTCAAAGGGGTTGACTTAGTGGATAACACATTTCGGGACAATCAACATTTGGGCGTGGATTAATCCTATGCCTCCATCATACTCACTAGTGACAACTATGATGTTACTCGCCATGGTAAGAGGGATCTAAGCACACAAGAAGAAAACGATCGGCTCAAAGCTCACATGGCTACCTAGTCACCCAACCATCTATTTCCAATTCACAAACACAATGAATGGCAATTGTAACCAACAAGTAATCGAGTCAAGACATCCATTCATTTATGCACAAATGAGAACTAAAATTTTTCCCTATCGTAATGGACCTCTCAATCATCATCATAGGATACACTCGATCACATGCAACAATTCAAGACCAATGCCAATAAACACGAGAATTTCCCACACACCGGCCACTTTGATCATGCAAACATTGCTTGGAGCCCTCAAATTTTTGAAATTTGGGCATATATCAAGGCTCCAAGCATCCATCACACTCACAGAAGCATAATAGTAAACTACCCCCACCCCCCAACATTTAAACTCGACATTGCCCTCAATGGCGTAAGAAAGGGGTAGAATGATGTTACCGCTTGGGCTTGGTGAGTGAGTTGGAATCGAATCCGGGTTAGGACATTTTGAGCTTCAAGGAGAGACAAAAAAACACACACACAAGCACAATACGACTCGCTCGAGGCGAGGTTATTACAAACACAATACGATAGTAGTAGTAGTAGTAGTAGTTTACGGTCACACATACACAAAAGAAAGAAAAATAACAAAAGCAACAAGTTCAGGGTTACAAGCGGAGAAGTGGGGTGAAACAAATCGGCTCTACCACAGGTCTCACTCGTTGGCTACCTCTCTTTGGTGGAAGGACCCGCGGCCTCATCTTGGAGGACGCCCTGGAGTCGAGCCATCAACTCAAGTAGATCAGTCTACCGGTCGAGGCAGGAAGAGAACCCCACGAAGTTCATCTCTAGGCGACCCACCCTCTAGACGAGGGGATCACTTGATGCTGGTGGTGGTGGCTGTGATGGGCGTTGTAGCGCTGGACACCGGCGGTGGTCGGGTGCACGAGCAGGTGGCTGTTCTGCTGGTGGTGGGACTTCGGGTCAGGCTCCACTGGAGCCGGGTCAACTCTGCTCGCATGACTCCTGAAGGTCGGAGTCCCTCGAGGTACTTCACTCCTCGCTCTCCTTGGAGTACCAGCTTCTGATTGTACAATGTCTCAACTGGAATGGGAGTCGTCCTCCCGGCGCTGGTACAACGATCCAAATCCACCTGGAAGTGCCAAGCCATCCTCGTGATGAGGCCCCCCATATGCATGGTGTCCACTCTGTTCCTCCCCAAACACCGGGCGAAAGAAGTGGCGATCAATGATCCCAGATGGATCGGCTCTACTGAACTCCTCAAGGAGTAGAGGGCAATGACCCCTCTGTTCGTCATCAGGTGGCCTGACTGGAGGCTAGGGACAACTGAGCGGGTGAGTAGAGTGTGGAGGATCCTTCACTGGGTCTTCAGCTTCACCGCATTGGTGCGGCTTCCCTCAAAATCGTCGTGCTCATGCTCGGGGAGGCAGAGGGCTCGGAATGCTCCCTAGTATATGAAGTCGACGGTGTACTGTCGCTCCGTCATTGTCATGTGGGCGGTGTCGAGCCCCAAGGCATAAGCAAAGGCATTGTAGGTCAGCACTCATGGATGAACTCCCAGCATAAACTCCACTCTCAGTCGGCTCTTCTTGCTGGTCGGGACGATCTGGGAGAAAGTGGAGTAGAACTCCACGCAGAGCTCGTGGTAGATCTCCTCATCCATCGTCAAGAGCTGGCGCCACTAGGGGTGACTGACACGCTAAAACACAACACCAAACTACGACCAAGTGTATTCGCAGTCCAGAAATGTAAGAACAGGCAAGCTCTAATTGTCAACCCGGGGTCTAGATCTGCTGCCTACTCCGTGAATATTTATTATCTAGCAAACTAAGTCGAGTGATTGTTGATTTAAGTAAAAGCAGTAAGAAAGCAGGAAATGATTCGGTTTTCTAAAGCAAGGGAAGAGTCACTCGGGAATGAGTCCCCCTAGCTCCTTAGTTAGGTCACAGTTGTAATTACCCTGGGTTGATTAACTGTTGATTAAACTGCGGAAGATCCGACAGTAGCATGGAATCTCTTAAGCTGACCAAGCCCTCTTAGTCCAACTACCCGACAGACGACTAGTCCTCACCGGGATAGAAAGCAGAGGCTATGAACACAAAACTCCACTACTGGAATTGGATTCCAGTACAAAGCAGTAAATCGATTAACTCTCGTATAACCAATCTACCACTACCGCTTGATGAAGCTCTAACAACCTAATCAGATTCTATCTATCTAAGGTTGCATCAGAAATCAAGAAAACATTATCAGACTTCAATTGACTCAATGAATCATGCATCAATCGATTAAAATCAACCAGTATAACAATCCCAAGTCATTACAATCAAGATCCCTAACACATGGAACTAAGGTTCTTCATACCCAATTGAGAGAAAGTTCTACTCCATAGAGAAAGAGAGGAAAACATAAATAAGAGTAGTCATACTCATAAAGATGAGGATAATCTGCTCTGGGATGATGATCTTCACTCCTGGGAATGCAATCTAGGATTCAATGGTGAGAAATCCACTCCAAATAGCTCCTAGGGTTTGTTCTTAGCATTTTCTCCGACCACACAGCCATGTGGTCTTCCAGTCTGGCCGTGTGGATGTCAAAACGCGGTGTTTCGATTTGTGGGTTTTCAGGCATGCTGCACGGCCAGGGACACACGGCCGTGTGGATTTCCAGGCTGGCCGTGTGAGCTCCCTGGACTTTCCACACGGCCACAAGGGGTCCCCTACACGGCCAGTGTGGCTTGCCCGTGCAAAATGGTGCCACACGGCCAAGTCATATGGTCGTGTGGGATTTTAGGCGTGCCCGTGTGGCTTCCTCAGCTTCTCGCCAAACGTCCAATCTTTGTCCAATCGACCTCGAACTCGTTCCCAAACCTTCATTCACGTACTAGGACTTGAAATATCAAAAACAAGAACAGCCTAGCGTGAAATCGGTCTAAAACATGAGAAATAAGACTCAAACGACACAAGAATGGTGGATAGAAACATGTGTATGCATCAAGTCATCAAATTCCCCCACACTTTACCGTTTGCTTGTCCCCAAGCAAACCAAGTAAGATACAAGGTAACCTCACATATTTAAATCATACCAACATTGGGGACAAATCATATAGGCACAGAACACGTGAATCGTACTGGCTTTTAAACATCAACACATGAACAACTTCAACAGCAACTTGGACAACCACCACAGAGGACATTCGAGTGCAGCAAAATCGGGTAAAGGAGGAGTTTCCCTTCTGTTCATCAACCAAAATAGACTTGACTCAACCACTTACTCAAGACAGTCACCTCATACACAAAACTCAAGATATCAGAATTGAGACCGAGCAATCTAGGTCCTCACCGGGGTAAAGAGTATAGAGAATATGAGAAAATGAATCGGTCACTCTCGACCAGTGGGGTCAGGACAATTTGATGCGAAAAATGAGCATGCTTATTCTCTCAATCCCTAACGTCTCTTCACCATGAAGGGAGCCTCTAAATGTTAGAGTTCACATATGGGGTGTCACCACCAACTAATCCGGAGGTCTTAGACACAGGTTCAGATGACTGGCTAGGGTCTTGGACATGGGGAATAGGCCTTTTAGGTGGTGGAAGTGTTCATAGCACAAGGTTCCACAGTTCCAAACCCAACACATTCACAACCAATCAAACCAGTACTTTCTTTCTGCCATTATGCATTACTCAAATTCTCTAGAGCACAAGAGCGAAGGAGGTCACATAAATGTTAGTATTTCCAAGCCAAACTGCTAAGAAACACTACTTAATGAGCATGATTCAGAATTCAGGGTAGTGGCTCTCTTTTCCTTTCATTCATTTTTTTCTCTTTTTTTCTTCATTTTATTTTTCATTTCTTGAGAGAACCACCACTTCTGCACATTTTTCAAACACATGCCCAATTTTTAAGCGTTACCTCCAACCCTCACATTAAATTTAGCAGAAACAACAGAGAACATGCAAAAACCACTCTATGGAACCTTCTAAAAGATGCAAAAGGGTGATTTTCCATTGTAGACCGAAAGGAAAAAGAGTACACGGCTCAAAGGGCTGACTAGGGGGTATGACACACCAGGACAGTCAGTTTGGTCGTGGGCTAATCCTATGCCTCCATCATCTTAGCTAATGGCAACATGAATGCTACACATCATGGAAGAGGGAAATATCGCACAAGAAAGAAACGAGCAGGCTCAAATCTCACATGGCTACCTATATGCTCTATCTCTCATTCTGATTCCCTGAACTAGATGCATAAACGACTGTCAAGAGCAAGTGATCGATCCAAGTCACAGTTGAAAAACTGAACCCCTACACAATTCTACTGCACGTCTCAGTCATCATTATAGGTTGTCCTAGTTACAATCAAGCTGTCATGCAAGAATTCGAAAGCCATTCGATTCACCAATCAAATCACAGTGCCAATATGATCATGCAAACAGCGATACTTGGAGCCCTCAAATCTTGAGATTTGGACAGCGGACTAGGCTCCAAGCACACATATAAAGATTCCAACCGATACAAAGCACCCCCCCCCCCCACACACACACTTAAGCATGACATTGCCCTCAATGGAGAAGAGGGAAAGAGAAGGGGAATGATGTTACCAGATGGAAAGACTGTCGGGGGACTTGAAGTGGACCAGTCAATGGGGCTAGCATCAGCAAAACACACTGGGTGATAGAAACCATAGTTCCAAGTGAACAAACCGAAAAACAAACGAAAGAAAAACAAACCTTGGTGGGGTTGCCTCCCCACAAGCACTTCTTTACCGTCGTGAGCCGGACGGTGGCTCCTAAGTTTTGGTCCACCCCAGAACCTCCTTGAAGTTGAGGTTCTCATTAATGAGGTGGAGTCTCAACTCACGAGCATGTGATGTGATTGGTGATGAAGATGACTCGTGGCCTTGAGGAAGATGAAGTCTCCACTCTCGAGACCTCTCCTTCGCGTCTGCTCTTGTCTCATTGCCCCAAACCAGATAAGATATATTCGATTGACCACCATCGCATCCACTAAGAGGGATCGATGTTGATGTGATCTTGGTCTGGCAAAGAGACACTGCAAATGGGTCATTGCCAAGCAGCTCCTCGAAGTTTGGTGGAGATATCACATGTAACATAGGGCCGGTGCAAGCCTCTTCCAACTCAACTTCATCCTCATCCTGGACGCCAATTGCTTCCTCAACCCCCCTTCCTTCGGAAAAAATCCCAAAATACACATTTTTTAAAAAAATTCCCAAAATACACACGTTATAAAAGAATTTCCAAAAATACACATGTTTGGGTATCACCGCTGTTGTCAACCACAGTGAATGCATTCACAGCGGCAAACCAAAGCGGTGAATGCATCACCGCGGTTGACGACCGCTGTGAATGCCTAACGTTTCACTGAAACTTCAAACAAACGTAACTTTGTGCTCAATTATCCGATTGTAGCGAAATTTTTTTTGATTCCACATAACTTTTAAAGATCTTTCAATCTGTAACAAGACTTTATCCCAAAAAAAAAAAAATCATTTGCTACCCTGAACGAGCAATTTTTCGATTTTGACAAACTTTGGAAGATCATAACTTTGTGCTTCACAACCCGAATGTCATGAAACTTTTTTTGATTTTGCATAACTTTTGAAGTACTACAACTTTTATTATAACCATAATTTTGGAAAGTATGTGGATTTGTGAAAAGTAAAGGCAAAGTTATTCCCAAAATCCCGTATACCCAAAAATACTTCTTTTTAAAAAAATTATTTCCTAGTAGAAGTTGTAGTTCTTAAAAAGTTATGCGCAATCAAAAACAAATTACCACGTTCGGATTGAGGAGCTAAAAGTTATGTCCTTCCAAAGTTTGGCAAAATCGAAAAATTGCTCGTTCGGGGTAACAAACGACATTTTTTGAGATTACGTCTTGTTGCAGATTGAAAGATCTTGAAAAGTTAACCGAGTGCAATGTTATGTTTGTTTGAAGTTTCAGTGTTAAGTCAAACATTCACCGCAGTCGTCAACCGCGGTGATGCATTCACCGCTTTGGTCTGTCGTGGTGAATGCATACAATGCGGTTGACAACAGCGGTGAAGCCCAAACATGTGTATTTTGGGAATTTTTTTATAACGTGTGTATTTTGAGAATTTGTTTTAAAAATATGTGTATTTTGGGAATTCATCCCCTTCCTTATCAGAATGTGGTCTCTCCCCTTGGAAAAGATCAAGAACTTCCTCTTCTTTGCTTTCTTCCTCATCCTCTACAACTTCTTCCCTCACCCTTTCTCGCTCTTCTTCTTCTAGAACAGATTAGAGAGCAAGTCGCCATGTAATTTCTTCAATGAGATCATCTTGCATCTCCTTGCTCGGGCACAGCATGTTAGAGCAGAAATGAGGAAAGGTGTGATCTGCAACCAGAGGACTTTCCTGATCATGATTATCATGGGAGTTCTCTGTGATAACTTCTGTATGCTCCTCGAAGTCCCTGTAGCCTTTGTCATCCTCCACCTCTTCTAGCGTG